ATTGACATATATTACCTACATAATTAACAACTAGGTATTGCATAGTACTGACACTATTGACATAGTATTTACCTGGTATTGACATACAGGGTGTCCCACGGTGGATGGCGTATTAGACGTTTATGGAGAACTACAAAGCGGATCATATTGAAAATTTGGCAACCGGGATAAACGACCATAAGCTATATTTTAAAAATATTTTTGTTTATGCGGTGTTGCCGCTTCTACTCTTAATCAGTGGCAACATCGCTATTTTAAATGGAACACCCTGTATGTGATTGCATATTTGGATTCTACGTAAAATTCTGAACAGATTTCATGTAATATACCCTATACCTAAGTTCAACTATTTCGGAAATATTGACAGTTGAAAATTGAGTTTTTGCAACTTTGACAGGTTGTAAAACCTAAACGGTTAATTTTAGAGGAACACCGATTTAACATTCCTATCTTAGATTTTCATAAACTATCATTTGACACCAACTCTGAATTTAACCGGAGATTAAATTTAATTGGAATTTTTAATCATGGATTAAATTCAAAGTTGGTGTCAAATTATAGTTTATAAAAATCTAAGATAGGAATGTAAAATCGGTTTTCCTCTAAAATTAACCGTTCAGGTTTTACAGCCTGTCAAAGTTGCAAAAAGTCAATTTTGAACTGTCATTATTTCCAAAACAGTTGAACTTAGGTATAGTAGTAGTAGTAGTAGTAGTACACATGCTTTATTGTCCAAGAAATTCTAAATCTTATTGACAAAGCAAACTTAATTTAAAACACTTAAATCTATTCATTATTAAAATTACAAATAAAGTATCTACATATAAAAACACTCAGAGTAAAAAAAGCAAGAACAATTGAAAAACAAAAATATCTGACAAGTGATAGCTTCATATTTCTCAACAAACAGATAAAAAGCTATGATAAAAAAAGATTAGCAACTAATTTGGTTAATACGCACCCAGGTCTTTCTATATTGTCTATGGAGAACAATAAATAGTCCAAATTATCTCCCATTTCTTTAAATTTTTTGTGCAGCTTCTATAGGGTATATAACATGAAATCTGCTCAGAATTTTACGTAAAATCGAAATATGCAATCACATACAGGGTGTTCCATTTAAAATAGCGATGTTGCCACTAGTTTAGAGTAGAAGCGGCAACACCGCATAAACAAAAATATTTTTAAAGGGTAGATTATGGTCGTTTATCCTGGATGCCAAATTTTCAAAATGATCCATAAACGTCTAATACGCCATCCACCGTGGGACACCCTGCATATTAACCAGTGATTTGTACACCGATTAACAAGGTGAAAAACCCCTCGGTTTCTGATAAAAGGAAAGAAAAAAAAACTTCAAAAAAGCTTTGCGCCTGCATACTAACTGAAAATTAGATAATGTTATGTTCCAAATTATTATAAAATTGACAAAATCGTGGGTTGAGGAGTGGCAAATAACACAAATTTATTCTTTGCGACGTTTCGTAACTATATATTGTTACTTTTTCAAGCACTAAAATAAATGGAAACAAAGAACATGTCATACATAAATAAATTAACCATTACAACATCATACCTGAATAATTAGTGTTTCTGTGCACACATTAATAAACCATTTCCATGGGTAATCCAGGAAGTTTTAAACATTTTCACACACGCAAGCTAGAACTTTTGTTTTTCTTTTTTTTTTTTTTGGTACGTATTGCTATCACGTTTATCACGGAACCACTAATCTGGCCTTGGTTCCGGTGGTACCTGCTAGGTACCTACCATATGAGCATAAAACATTTTTTGTGCAGCAACAATAACTTCTTTTAATTTTTAAGAGTCCTATAAACCGCTGATAAATTCCTGGTAATGTTGCTTATACTAAAAGGCACTATTGCTTATTAAGTGTGCACAGGCCCACCAACCACCATTGTTTAGTATTTATTGCTGGTTAAAAAAAAAAAAAAAAAAAGACACACACACACAAAAACAACCATTGGACATTTACGTTAACAAAAAAGACAAAATTCAATTATAATCGTAGTTGTGTAACTAGCGTAATTATTCATTATTATTGTATTCAGAGTATTTTTTCAAAATATTTGTATAAATTACACTTAGTCCTTGTGTGTCCGACCTTAAATTAATAGTGTTATTCAAGTTAATATGAATCATTTCGCCTATATTTCGTTTGAACCAGTTGCTCTCCTTATCCACAATTTCAGTGTTTTGAAATTCAAAGTGATGGCCAGTTTCAAAACGGTGTGACGCTAATGCAGTTTTTTCTGTTTTTGCTTGATTGTGGTTTTTACAATCATTTTTGTGCTGATTTAGTCTAGAAGCCAAATATTGCTTGGTTTGGCCGACGTAAAACTGACCACAGGAACATGGAATTTTGTAAATGACATTGGAATGTTTCTCTAGGGGTGTAGGGTCCTTTAGTTTTGTATATAAATGAGCTGTTGTTTTGGTATTATAGAAAGCTAGTTTAGTATTGGTTCTGTCTATGCAATTATTAATTTTTTGGGACAGACCTTTGATGAAAGGAAATTTGTAGTATTTGACATCAGGTTTGGGTGTGGCATTAGCGTCGTTCAGTTTGTTGTGGAAACAATGTATACATTGGTTAACAAATGAGGAAGGGTAGTTGTTTAGTTTTAAAATTGTTCTGATTTTCCTTAAATTCTCATCATTGAATGATGGATGACTGAGTTTGTAGGCCCTGTGTAGTAGGCCAGTGATGGTACTTATTTTGTGTGAGGTTGGATTGTTGGAGAAATAATTTAGGATTCTTCCTGAACTAGTTGGTTTGCTGTACCATTTAGTGAAGATTGTTCTGTCATCATTTCTGATGACTTCGGTATCAAGAAAAGAGATTCTGTTGTTAGTTTCGGCTTCGAGGGTAAATTGAATTTTTGGGTGGTAGGTGTTAAAATATTCAAGAATAACATTACAGCCATTTTCAGGAATGGCTGTGAGTGAATCATCAACATATAAATAAAAGAAAGGTAATTTGAATGGAAGTTTGTTTAAAATGGTTGTTGTTAGATCATTCATTACTATGTTTGCATCTAACAACAACCATTTTAAACAAACTTCCATTCAAATTACCTTTCTTTTATTTATATGTTGATGATTCACTCACAGCCATTCCTGAAAATGGCTGTAATGTTATTCTTGAATATTTTAACACCTACCACCCAAAAATTCAATTTACCCTCGAAGCCGAAACTAACAACAGAATCTCTTTTCTTGATACCGAAGTCATCAGAAATGATGACAGAACAATCTTCACTAAATGGTACAGCAAACCAACTAGTTCAGGAAGAATCCTAAATTATTTCTCCAACAATCCAACCTCACACAAAATAAGTACCATCACTGGCCTACTACACAGGGCCTACAAACTCAGTCATCCATCATTCAATGATGAGAATTTAAGGAAAATCAGAACAATTTTAAAACTAAACAACTACCCTTCCTCATTTGTTAACCAATGTATACATTGTTTCCACAACAAACTGAACGACGCTAATGCCACACCCAAACCTGATGTCAAATACTACAAATTTCCTTTCATCAAAGGTCTGTCCCAAAAAATTAATAATTGCATAGACAGAACCAATACTAAACTAGCTTTCTATAATACCAAAACAACAGCTCATTTATATACAAAACTAAAGGACCCTACACCCCTAGAGAAACATTCCAATGTCATTTACAAAATTCCATGTTCCTGTGGTCAGTTTTACGTCGGCCAAACCAAGCAATATTTGGCTTCTAGACTTAATCAGCACAAAAATGATTGTAAAAACCACAATCAAGCAAAAACAGAAAAAACTGCATTAGCGTCACACCGTTTTGAAACTGGCCATCACTTTGAATTTCAAAACACTGAAATTGTGGATAAGGAGAGCAACTGGTTCAAACGAAATATAGGCGAAATGATTCATATTAACTTGAATAACACTATTAATTTAAGGTCGGACACACAAGGACTAAGTGTAATTTATACAAATATTTTGAAAAAATACTCTGAATACAATAATAATGAATAATTACGCTAGTTACACAACTACGATTATAATTGAATTTTGTCTTTTTTGTTAACGTAAATGTCCAATGGTTGTTTTTGTGTGTGTGTGTCTTTTTTTTTTTTTTTTTTTAACCAGCAATAAATACTAAACAATGGTGGTTGGTGGGCCTGTGCACACTTAATAAGCAATAGTGCCTTTTAGTATAAGCAACATTACCAGGAATTTATCAGCGGTTTATAGGACTCTTAAAAATTAAAAGAAGTTATTGTTGCTGCACAAAAAATGTTTTATGCTCATATGGTAGGTACCTAGCAGGTACCACCGGAACCAAGGCCAGATTAGTGGTTCCGTGATAAACGTGATAGCAATACGTACCAAAAAAAAAAAAAAGAAAAACAAAAGTTCTAGCTTGCGTGTGTGAAAATGTTTAAAACTTCCTGGATTACCCATGGAAATGGTTTATTAATGTGTGCACAGAAACACTAATTATTCAGGTATGATGTTGTAATGGTTAATTTATTTATGTATGACATGTTCTTTGTTTCCATTTATTTTAGTGCTTGAAAAAGTAACAATATATAGTTACGAAACGTCGCAAAGAATAAATTTGTGTTATTTGCCACTCCTCAACCCACGATTTTGTCAATTTTATAATAATTATTGGGAGACGAATATAGAAAAAATAAGAAATGTTCCAAATTATATATTCGGGATAGATTTATATGTACACACACAAACTGAAAGGTTAATCGTGTACAAAAGGAACTGTTAATTATGTATTTGAAATAAATTATTTGATTTGATTTTGTCAAGCACTTATCGAGGCACTTATAATACATAACTAGCATGAAGTACCATCATCATTATTCTTGTTCTAACAAGTGTTTTGACCTAAACATTGTAGCAACTGGCCAAAAATGCAAAGATTTGTGAAAGTCTTTACATAGAGAACCTTACATGTTGATAGCAACTTACCGTACAAAGTAGCAAACACAATAAAATCAGCAATACTCAATCTCTTATTAGCCAAATAAGTCACTGGACCCAAGTATTTATCCAAAACTTGAACGGCATTGAAAAATTCGTATTTGGAACTCAAAGGGCCCAAAGCAAAAGTTAACCAATGGTCCACCTCTGTTGTCTCGATCGCACTGCTTCCGTACAAATGAGGAGAAGCAATTTTGGCAACAGCCCTCGCGACATCGTTGCTGGTTTTACATTGGAAATTTTCTACGGAAGTCTGGTCGCCCCAAGATATTTCTATTGCGTTTCCGTTGGACGATTTTACATAGTTTGCCACAATAAGGCCACCTAAAAATTGGTATTGTGATGCAACAGATTTACGATTATTTTATGCGAATTTGCTCACCTAGGGGTGGATTATTTCGGTTTAATACAACCTTCATTTTGTATTTAGCCAGTGAGATTTAGTTAACTTAATGGTGGGGCCCCCTAAATAGCTCTATTTATCACCAAAACGACACGTTGCCTTTGGAAAATCCAAAAAAAAAAATAGAGATAGAGAGAAAATTATTTTGGGGTTATGTTCACGAACAGACACTTCTTGAGGTGTTTTCTTTCTCCTCTACAGTACCGCCCCTTTCCAGTCGCACCCAACTGATAAATAGCGTTTTCCATCGGCCAAAACAGTGCTGCACTCAGATTGAAGTGACACTGAAGCAGTTCAAAATATGCTTGAATAAACAAATTTTCTGAGTACGCGGTTTGCACCAATGAGGATTTCATGAAATTTGAGCCTTTAATACAGTATTTTTTTCTGCTCACAGAAATGGAACCTTGGCACTGGAGGATTTTATACATATCTACCTTATAGAGGATCTATTTCTATATGAATTTCTGATAAAACACCATGTAGTTCATATAGGAATTAGGATTGTCAAGAAGAATGTGATGATATAGGTTTTCTCAGTATTTTCTATAAAGAATCCAAAATTTTATCTCCATGCAGACTAACAGACTATCGTTAAAAAGCAATACTTATAATCGGTTCTTTATTCTAAATAAAATATGGCCAAACTTAAAGCACAAATTCAACTCAGATCTGATCCGCTAGACTATAGATGCAATAAATTAGAATTGTTTGCTACTTAATCACTATTTATGTACAAATAAGTTTCTGTCATAACATAAGTTGGTGAAATTTAACTCTTGACTAGAGAAAGCTATATTCAATAAGTTCGAAACCTGAATAATTGACTTAAATGAAATAATGCTTGTAAAATAAGACTATCTTCTCTTGTTTTGGTGGGATAATTCCAAAACTCTCGTGCAATTTCATCTACACTTCTTAACAAAAGTATAGAAGAGGGTTGTTCTTTAATGCTAGTGCTTAATTGATATATTTCTGGTGCCTCATTCATTTTATTGAAGTTTGGGTCATCGTTTACAGGAGAATATGGTGGTGGTTCATTGGATGGTTCCTCTATGGGCTGTTTTTTACTCTTCGAGCCCAGCGTGAAGGCTAGAAAAAATAATTTAGAATATACTTTTATACATTATAATGAGCCTTACCTAATGCATCTAATTTAGAATGCTGATCACCAACTTTCCTCAGCAACTCTCGTATTTGTGCTCGTTCTTCTTCGGCTTGTATATATAATTCTCTAATATCACTCTTTAAAGTATTCACCTCTTCTAGTCTGGCTGCTTCTTTGGCAGCCTCTTTTGCTGATGACCTAAAAGTAGTTTAATCTATTGAGGCCGGGTTTATTCACCTTCTGATTAACTGTCAGGTAATGCAAGCTGAGTAATCTGATGGATAAAGATAAAAACAAAATCTATAATCCTATTAGTCGGCCAGTTATCCGTTGACCACTTGGATTATAGATTGGTGAATTTATCTTGTAGATTCCTTACCTGGCATATTCGCTAATCAATATCCCAGCAGCTATAAGAAAAATAACAGCTTCACCCAATAAGTTAGCACCTAATTCTATGGCTTGCGCCTCATTCAGCACAGGAATATTAACAGGTTTGCCCAAGTTTAGAATCCACATTTTCGACTTTATCTCACACCAGTTATAAACTACAATTGTTGATTGTTAACTGATTAATATAAATAGCTAAATTAGGAGTATCTTACACTGAGCGGGGGGCATACAAACATATTTACGAAAAATAGGAGAACTTTTGGCTTGATTTTTCAAAACTGTAGCAATGGGTTTGCTGACTTGTTTGATCAGTAACGCGCCTAATTTGGCAGCTGGAAATGCGCCAATTACCATAACTATTGTTAAGAATTGAAGCTTATCCTAGGACTATTATTAATTTGTTTCTATTTTCGAAAAAAAAATTAAATTTTACAATTATTTTGGATGATTTAATTTTAACCTCACTTTCCTCCTTTCACAAGTAAAAATCATGGCTGTAGGTCATGGTACTGAAAAAAGAAGAGTTTTCTGTAATCTGTGCCAAGCAAAAAAGGAGTGACTGACTACTGCACTGTCCAGACAATGGGTGACACTGTTCACACTGTTCGGAGTTCAGAAATAACGCACAGGGTGCGAGTAAAATCTGTTTTTTTTTTTGTCAAAATGACATTATGTTGGCAATACAATGTAAAATTGTCGATGCTTCAAATTTTTATGTAGAAAAGGCTTATGTTGCCAACATAGTTACTAAATTTTTGACTTGGAGAAAAAAACAGACTTTACGATTTTTTGGGTGTGCCTGAATTGACAATGGGCCACTTTCACATTTTTCAAAAACATATTCTAATTATTCTTTTAGTCATTCTAATACTATCCGTATACTTTTTTTCCGAAAAAAACGCTTATTTTTGAAAAAAAAATATTTAAAAATCGAATTTTTAAACTGGCGCGAAAACGCGAACTTGGTATGTGACGTCACAAACCAGAAAATCAACAAAAATGCGAGAATGCCAAATTTCTCATTAGTAAATCATTACACATTTCACTAGCTAGAAACTATTTCCGTCCTGTACTACATTATAAAAAAATAAAGGATAGGTACCTATAATCCTAATATATTTAACTCATTTAAATTTCGCATTTCTACATGTGGCAACAAAATCGTCAAAATCGGCTTTAGCCAATCAGAGCGTTTTCAAATCACGTGATTTCTCGTTTAAATTTTTAGTTTTTATTTATTAATTTTATCTGCGTCAAAAAATATCATAATTTACCATATTCCCGGCACGTGAAAGTGGCCCATTGGCCATTGGGCACTGTCTAGACTAGACAGTGCCAACTGAAATCTATCTGCACTGTCCAGACAATGCCGACAAAGCATCTGCACTGTCCAAATAATTTTCATTATCTACCTGAGCCAACTCCATGGTTGCTACGGGTGCGCAAGCACCCATACTAAATATTTTACGGGTGCAACATTATGTTGGCAATACATAATGTCACATGTCACTTTGTCTTTTATCTTTAAAAAAAAACACATTTTACGAAATAAAATCTGTTTTTTTTTAAAGATAAAAGTCAAAATGACATTATGTTGGCTATACAATGAAAAATTGTCAATGCTTTCAAATTTTTTATGTAGAAAAGGCTTGTATTGCCAACATAGTTACTAAATTTTTGACTTGGGGAATTATCTTTAAAAAAAAAAAACAGACTTTACAAAGATTTTCCCTACGAGCGTGCGCAAAGCTAAAATAAAAATTTAAGAAGATATTTGGGATTCAGTGATTCGGAACAAACAGAGCTGCTTTCTTTCCAGAGGCTGGATCACGATTTTGAAATGTAAGCAAATTAAAGTTTACCTCAAATACGTTCAAAATTATATTATTTCGTCACCAAGCCTGTGTCATCATCTAAAATTCCTAAAAATATTGAAAGCGAGGACAAAGTAATTAAATTGGTGATTTATGGCGCATGTGTGCCGGTCTTCTTTGATTTAGATGTCCTCACATTCTTAAACCAAAATTGTTCTTGTTGACCCGGATAAACCAGGAAATTACGACATATTTATTCGATTTTAAACAATTGAAAGAGGAAGTTTATTGAATGACAAAAATTTCGAGCAGATTGCATCATAATGATTGATGGACAAAGAAATTTTGGGGGGATCGAATAATATAAATACAGCGGTTTTAGTTGAGATCATCAGTTGTCAGATCAGTTGTTAGTTCAGTCCAGTTTGAGTTAAATATTACAGTACCTAATGTGTCAGTCCGGGTAAAATTCGCGAAAAATTTCTTTTATTGCCTGGGGAGGACGCGTTTGATAGAACTTTGAAAAGTTAACGGAAAATCGAGAAAGAAAGAACATATAAATTCATTCTACATTATGTGCGAGCTCTAAATAATCAAAAGAATTTATCTTAAATTAGTTTAGTGTTTTATAGACAAAATGTAAGTACTCTATAGTGAGAAGTTTTATTTTTGACTATAAATGATGAATGAGTATGAAGTGAATTAACTTTGGAACTTTATTGCATAAATAACTCGAGTGTTTTGACTATGGAACATTATTGCCTAAATTTAATTGCCTTCAAGTAAAATGACATTTTAATTAATTTCGCAAAGAATTTAGGAGGGGAAATTACAATGCTCTTAACAATATTCGATTTTGAGTAGGAATTATTAAAGAATTTTGAATTGGATTGTCCAATTGATGTTTACGGGCTATAGTAACTAACTAACTAGTATTAATTAAATAATTGTGTATGTTGGCTAGGAATCCGAAAATAGTAATTGTTCTGATTAAATTGATCCTTAGTAAAAGAATAAACCATTGAATTCTACTTCACCGCACACTATGCGGTAAAGTGCACTTTACCGCACGTTTTTGCAAATGGAAAGTATCACTTTACCGCACACTATGCGGTAAAGTGCACTTTACCGCATAGTGTGCGGTAAAGTTAATAACTTTACAGCATGGTATGCGGTAAAGTAGAATACAAAGTGTGCGGTAAAGTGCACTTTACCGCATAGTGTGCGGTGAAGTAGAATTTGATATTTATAATTAAAAATCCTCTCTTTTTCAGAAAATGGATTTTTGATCATTTCTAAATCTTATCTAATTTCATTAATTAATCTGATTCATTAATTTATTTTATCAATGCCTTTTTTTGGAGATGTAGATGCTCATAGGTAAAATTTTGTACCTAACACATGCGGAAAGTGCCTTTACCGCCCTTAACGGCTTGACCGAACTCCGCTTCGCGTCGTTCGGTCAACTGCCGTTGCGTGCGGTAAAGTATCACTTTCCGCATTTGTTGGGTAAATAACTATATAGATATAGGTGAAGGGTAGCTTTAATAGGAATGTGAATCGGAAGTGTTGTAATGTATGCACCTATAAGTTATTAAGAATAATAGAAGTAGGGCGTTTTTATTTTTTTATGGATATTTCCTGGTCCGTAATAATGACATTTGAACGGATGTGAAATAATTTGAATTGGGAAAAATAGAAATGGCTGTCAGAATAGAAAGATATTGTGCTTATTTAAATTTTTGGTCTCAAGTATAATAAAATATAATTTAGTAAACCTCAATAATTTGTTTCTCTCTTTTGCGAAGGAAAAGCTCGGTTTTGTCACACAAAAAGTGAAGCGTTTCCACTAATAAGCCCGGCTTTATGAACTACGGAGAATATGGCCCTTAGGCCCAGTTGTATAATCGTGGTTCAAAACAGAGTTCAGCTGAACTCGACTGGTACCTACCTACTTGAACTTTCCCATTTGAAATGCAGTGCTGTCAAAATAGATAGAATTTGATAAATAGCTGATAGCAATCTATTTCAAATGGGAAAGCTCAAGTACTAGTCGAGTTTAGTTGAACTTTGTTTTGAACCGAGATTGTACAACTGGGTCTTATTGAACATAAATGACATAACATACCATAGCTTTGGTTCCAACCTCAATGGTTCCAACCCAGCAGGGAACAGGGAACCCTACATTTCATCGTCAGGATTCTGCGTGAAACGTAAAATTTCTGCGTAGAATCCGAGATTCGTTTACAGTGTGGCTGCGAAATCTTTCTAGAGACGTTTTTTTGGCGGGTTGGAACAAGCCTAATAACATTCATCCCATCCATTAAATTTAAAATTGGTGAATTTCTTGAAAATGAATAAATGGTTAACCCTGCAGTGGTGGCGCCCAGTCTCTCGTGCCCGAGCTTCATAATCCAATTTATAAAAAGTGTGAGGATTAATTTGCGGTCTTCGCCGTTCCAGTACCTTCCTATAATGTATTTTACTAGCGAACGTCATAAGTGTTATGTGCTAAATATTTTATTGAGCAGCTTGGTAATAGTTTCGGGTCTGGTGGACTTGGCGCCACTACTGGCGATTTGCCGATGGTGGTGTTTCAGAATATTTCCACCTCCGGTAAGTCTGTTGTAAGTTCAGTTTATATGTACAATTATTTTATTTCTTATGAATTTGTACAATTATGAGTTATGAAAAAGATTAACCTGGAGTGCTTATGTTATTGGAGGAATTAGAGACTGATACCGAGGGAAATTTTGATGATGAGGAGTCTGAAGCGGAGGAAGACAATATTGAGGAACGATCACGGGAGCAAGATGGTGAAGATAAACCAGAAACAGAACCAAGTGCATAAATTCCTCGATTTCCTACTTTCATTGGAAAGGATGGATCTGTCTGAAAAAAAAACATGGTCAAAATCGAAAACTTTATTTGTTTATCACATGCTATTTTTATGTGTCTCATTTGTAAGCTAATACCCTAATTTTATACGAAATATGTTTTGTAGATTATAGTTAAGAAAATAAAAAAGTTATTTAGGAGTCTCTTTCAAGTCTACTGATATATTTTAATTTCCTTTTTTATGTTGTATTATTGTTCAATGTTTATGGACCTTTTGCAATTCTGTCAATTTTTGGCACTCCTAAACACAAATTATTTTCACATTTAACGATAAAATAGAAGCGAACACTCTCTAAAATGAAAATAATGGTCCCAGTTTAAATATTTCATCTATTTCCAATATTCAATTATTTTTAAGAATATGGGTCTCTCAGACTTGGCGCCACTACTAGTGCTAAAAAAGAGGCGCCACCACTGCAGGGTTTTAATGGGACACTTTCTAAGTAAGGCCAACGAGTAACGACAATCATCGACATTCAAACGGTTCGACTATTTCTCAAGACACACGAAAATTATCGTATCGCTTTGTTCCAACACAGTAGGAAACTGTACACGTACCGTACCGACACGATTCTGCGCAAAGCACAAAATTTATGTGTAATCCGAAATTAATATACAGGAGTGTTTCCAGAACCTGTTCATGGAACGGTTTTTGGTTTGTTGGAACAGACCTTATTTTATAAAAGCGGAAAATTTCAGCAAAATGCGGAGAATTTTATTGATCAAGGTGGAGGCGAAGGATTGGCAACACTGATTAATACACTGAATCCCAACAAGGAA